AATATTTAGGATTTTAATATTGATTAAATTTTTATTTGATAACAATTCATAATTTTGTTATTTGAACTAAATAAATCTTTAATTCTTTTTTCTTTAAATTATTTGTGCTCGAAATCTTTAATTAGAGATGTTTATGCAAAGAATATTACTGGATCGATTGCCATATGTTCTTTTAAATTCAATTAATATTTCCTAGCTCTTATAACATCACCTGATTTCAACCCAACTCACATTCTAATTATTTTACTTAAGTTTATATTTTTTTTATTTTCTTTATTATTAAAAGATTATCAATACAAGGATATATCATTAACGTTATCAGAAGCAAAAAATAAGAGATCAATATTGATGCATCAAATGTCATTATATATGTTAGTAAAATCTTGAATTGTGTTTATGTCTCTTTTTATTTAGTATTATTTATTATTTTTAGAAAGCTGGTTATCCTTATGACAATGAAGTAATCGTTGTGTTGGCAGAAAGGATCTCCAATGCAATTTTTTATCAGAACAAATAGATATTTTATTAGAAAATTTTCTACTTGAAATTTGAACCAGTAAATAAGTTTTTATTTTAGTATTGAGGATAAATCGTTAAGTCTATAAATAAATATTAATAAATCAATTTTTTTCCTTTTTCTTTACTCTCTATTACTTAAAAAATGTTTGACAACATAAAAAATTAATTTTCATTTCAAATATAATTAAACATATATATTTTGGAATGAGTTAATATTAAGAATTTGAATAAATAGAAAATTATCTTTTAGAACAAATAAAGAATTAACTAATTAGCAAGCGAATTCAATTTAATTAAATTTGGGTTGGGGATATTTTAGATCAAAGGTGAAAGAAAGGGTATTTTTGAATAAAAAATAAAGATATAAGATATTTTTAGATCAAAAGATTGAAGGAGAATATTTTTAAGGCATTTTCAATAAATTAGGGCTATTCTTGATCTTTTTCCATTTAATATAAAAAATAATTTAAAAAAGGTGACATTTACAAACTTTCTTTTGTGCTTAAACGCATGCCAAAGCTTTTTCAATAGAAGACTAATACGTGTTAACCAATAACTAATCACTTAATTAAACTATAAAAAATTCATGTTTAATCATTTATGTTACTAAAAAGGTAGCTTCATTCCCACTATCATATGTAACAATTGCCACACGTTAATTTCAGATTAGTACTTTTATTTTGACCAATTATATGTTCCCTCATCCACAGTAAAAAAATATTCTTTGACTAATATGTCAATTGTTATGCTTAATTTAAAGCTAATGAAGTGACTTCATAAACTTAAGTACTTTCTTTGTTTTGGTAATTGAGGATTTGAATGCAGAGTAGACAACCAGCTCTTCATTTTTGTTCCATATGTAAGTTTATTGTTCCCTACTTTCCTTTTTTATTTCGTGCTATGTTTATATTATGATCACAATTCTTTATAATAATATAGTTTGTTTCGATATTTTTTCGATTGCTATAATGATATAATTGGAAAAACCATATAATATAACATAAAATGAAAGATTGGTTTCACTAAAAAATATGACTATTTTAATGAAATGTTATTATAAAGAATGACTGTTATAGAAAGATCTGACCGTATTAAAATTTATGATAACAAAAATTGTGTGCTCTTTAAAAAATGAGAAAAAGACAGCTAGATTAGAGATGCTTCCTTTATATTATGTTGGTTTTTTCGTGTTGGAAGTATGGTTGGTGTGCTATTTTATTTTATTTTACATAATAATAAAGAGGGAATTAGAAGAAAGAAATTATTAGTATTCAAACTCGTGATATTGTAATTATCCATATAGACATGTCAAGAGTGAAAGTGTAAGAAATAATGAATATAATACAAAAATTTGCAAGAGGAGTCCTTACATTTTTTTTTATTCTTATTGTCCTTTGGATCAAGAGTCTAGAATTTTTAAAAATATGAATACAATCACAAGATATAGCCATATGTTTGTGATAAATTACTATGTTTTGGGTTACCATAATCCTATGAGTCCAAATTAATAATTAGATTTTACATCAGACCTCAAATCAATGTTTGAATTCTCAATTTACTCTCTTTTAACATTAGAAAAAAAATCAACAATTTCTACCTTTAAATTCATGATTATTTAGATTCTAGGTGTTAAATCTAACGTAGACTCATGTATAATCACTAGAATTTGATGCAAGTTCGTTACTTTAGTGTTATATGACTTTTCCTAGCCACAATTCGAAATTGAGCCGTGATGACATCTATTATAGCCCTGTAGGTAAGTAAAAACCTAAAATCAATACTGAAAGTAAAAGCTAACATGAAATAATACGGAAGCAAAAATGCGATAAAGGTGCTACCATGCATAAATAGTTACATAACAAGTATAAAAATAACAGTATGGGCTCTATGGAAATTTTAAAAAAATATGAGTCATTATGACAGACGAAAAAAATGTTGCTGCGAAAAGTGTTAATGGTGATTCTACAATTGAGAAAAAGAAAAATAATGTCATTTCAAAGTTACAATAGAATGATGAAAGATACAAATTTATGTTGAATAGCAACTTTAAAGATTTTTATGAGGAGAAACTTGTATCTTTAAACTATCTTATTAGACATACATCCATATCATATATACTAATTCTATCAATATTTTTAAATAATTATTTATTTTGTCACTAATTAAGAGTTTTCTATCATATATTGAGGAAAATACACCTAAATATATGTATTTTTGCTACTAGATACACTAAAATCGGGAGAAAAGTGAGCGAGATTTGTTATCTAGAACAAATGACACCTAATTTTAACCCCATGTATTTTAACATATATGTATCTGAACGTACCAAAATCATGTAAGATTCATAATATTACAAACTAGTATATCTAAGTAATTAACTTCTAAAGATTAAGTTTCTCTGTATTATCATAGTATCCAAACACATGAATTGGCTCCTATGTGTAAGGCCCATAATGCATATTGGGTTTTTTCTATTTCGTTTGCAGATTTAGAGCCCACTCAAGCTTTGATCTATTAGGGGCATTGAAAATAGTAGCCTATACATTTTAGCCCTTTATTTTTGAGAATTTGCACAAATTTTCTTTCTTGAGGCCATTATTTAAATTTTATCCTCATGATCTGGGGGTGGGGTGGACTTTGTTTCCAAAATAAATAAATAAGGACAAATTACAGAAATCACATACTTTTAAGGCAAAATTAAAATTTATCCTTTAAAAATTTATAATTACAGAAATCCCTCAAACGGATACAATAATATAAGTGCTGATACATTAATCTGATGCGCGAGATACAATAATATAAGTGTTGATACATGCGCGAGATACAATAATATAAGCGCTGATACATTAATCTGATGCGCGAGATACAATAATATAAGTGCTGATACATTAATCCGATGCATGAGATACAATAATATAAGCGCTGATACACTAATCTGATGAGCGAAAATGAGGGATTTTGGAAATTTGTAAAACTTATAGGGGATGATGGTAATAAGTAAACTAAAAAGTGGGATTTCTGTAATTTTTCCAATAAAATAAATAATTAAAGGTGAAATTTAATCCAATTAACTAAAGGAAACATAATTTAAAGAGTGGCCTAAAAGAAGATCATAACGGTGCATATAATCCCTCATTATGGGTGAATACACACTTTGTGGAAAGTGCTAAAGTTTGTTCTGGACAGTTTAATGACCAAAATAACATAATTTAGTTCACAATTTCACGAGTTTGATTTAATCATCTCTTAGTTATTGTTGTCTAATTAGGTAGCACTTTTCATGTTAGCAATGTAAAGAGAACATATTCATGAGCCAACTATCGATGGCCTATTAGAAACAATTTCTCTATCTTTTAAAGTGAAAGTAAGGTCTGCCGACTCTATACCCTCCCAAACCTCACATGTGGATTACATTGAGTTTGTTATTATTAATGTAAGAAAAAAACCTATATATTTGTATATCAAGAACGTATGCATGAGAGAAATGGTAAACAACAAAATCATCTAGCATCATGATATATTATTGTTATTTAGCAAAACGACATAAAAAACTCATAGAAGGAAGAAAACTAGAGAGAGAGATTGTCCTATTTACATATAATTATGCTTTCATTTATTTTTTTTGCACCTTGTTGTGTTGATACCTTACATAACCATATAATTTTAAGCCACTCATAATAACCATAAAAGTATATATATATATATATATAACTAATTAATATGCATGCTTAATCATGGAGAAAAAAACCATGACAAGCCCATGCAGGTTCTCATTGGAGGCAAATAGATGAGAAGGAAGACAAAATGAAAACTTAGCAACAAAAAGATTCATCCACTTTTTAACATCCCCCACTACTAACAACACATAAACATGCAACCTCAAACAAATTTCTCTAGGCGTGACAAACATAAAGTGGGGTGCATTATCATGATATATTAACCTAAGCCCACTATCTTCCCTTCTCTTCTCCTTCCAAATCTTTATACAATCGATTATTAATCTTATGAATTGAAAGTCAAGATAAGCAGTTTTCACTACATAGATATCGAGATTCACTTCCCTCTCACATGAATTGGTCGAGAGAGATGAATCCACACCACATTTTTTCGAATAAAAATATATTTCAGATCGAACATATACCATTAATGAATATTTTCTTAATAGAAACTCTTAGGATAACCTTATGGTGAAAATTTACTTGCATCACTCTACACAAGTCAAAGCTTACATTGATGATCATCAAGATCATCTACCATCCAATCCAACTCATGCATCAATATTTTTCTACTTCTTTTTAATTAAAAAAATTTCAACTAAAAAAACTAACAAAATTAAAATAAGATAAAAAAGAAAAATACAAAAAAACAAGAAGAAGAAAAAAAAAAAAAAGGTCCCCTACTTCCTCCCTTTACTTCTCAAAACCACTTATCTACCATCACAGAAGTTGCTAGTACCACCATATTGCCACCTTCCTACCACCGCCGCAGCTCCGCCACCTACTTCCGGCAAGATGTAAAAGTCTGAAACACCACACTTCCGGTTGACGGAAAATCATCCATTGTGCAGCTCCGGCATTTCATCCCTAGTGGTTCAACAGCTTTAGCAATTCTCGTCCAAACCTCATTGCTGGTGGACGTAGTCGAAATCGACATAGTTCCCGGCCGGAAAACTTGCACCACTTTCTTCAATATGTTAATAATATCATTGGGATCATCGTAAATTGATCCAACACATTCATAACTTGCATAACTAAATCCATCTTCAGGGGTAACATGAATCGTAGAATAACGATCTCCATCAATGCCATTCATGGAATATCCACAAGGATCAAAAACAAAATCACAAATCAAAGCATTTGGGTTAATTTCCGAAATTCCAGTAACTTCCGTCATTTCATTTGAAGCCATGTTTGGATGCTTAATAAACTTCCTAGCAAGTACCCGATCAAGCTCTGTCATACAAACTTCAATAGTGATGAGATCGTTGTTAGGTTCTTCGTTACAAGCAGTGAATACATGCCATGAATGAGAAATGAATTTTGATGGCATAACAGAGGCTTTTCTATAACAAAGATGAATTGGTAATTGTTCTTGTAAATAAAATATCTCATCGTTGAAATTTGTGTGTGGGTAAGGTTGAGCTTTGGGGAAAATGAAATTCCCTCGAGTATACCTACATTCACTCATAATGAATCCCAATTCGGATGTAAATTGAATCAATGGAAGAATTGATTTCAATAGCTGGGTAGTTCCACATGTTTTAATGATAATTTTAGTTGAGTAAACAAAGAGGCTTGATTCCGATAATACGTAAGAATCAAAGTATTGATTCCCAACAGCTGATACTACAGTACATTGCACTGCATTTAGTATTTCTTCAATTGATTCGAAGTCCAGTTGACGGAGACCACCCATTCGGATGATTGGATCATCGCCAGAGAAGTGTAGTTCAAGTCTCTTTTCGAATCCTTCGAAACCAGAAACAGCCATGGATGAAGAAAAAACAGTTTGTATGAAGAAATGAGAAAGAGAGATAGGAGGAGGTGGGGAGAGTTAGGAACAGGGAAGTGAGTATATATAGGGGAAAATAATAACAAGTGAGAAAAAGGGAAGGGGGGAGGGGGGCATGCGAGGTGAGTGAAGGAAGAATTAAAGAATAATAGTAATAATTGTAAGCATAATGAATACAAGATGATGTATCAAGTTTTTTTTGTTTTTGTGAGAGACAAACAACATGAATCCAAATTCATTTCCACGCGCAATTCTTGTTTTTTTGTTTACTTGTCTATATTATTTGAGTACTTACATTCACTCTATTTCCTACACTCATACCTTCAAAACAACCTACTCCCCCTCCGTTTCAATTAGTTTATTTGATTTTGACTTTACACCTAGTTTAAGAAAGTAAATAAGATTTTTGAATCTTGTCGTCTTAACTTAAAGATACTTTACGTATCTTTTAATCTTATGGGCTTAAGTTTGCATTATGGAAAGTTAGAATCATAGAGTAGCCAAAAAAAGAAGGAATTTTTGAGTTTAGCAGTGGCGAAGCTGAGAGTTTTGCTCAAGGTATTCAAAACTTTCGTATATATCTATAAGAAAGTTGCTTTTAACTTACACACACAATATATTTTTTCGACTAAGGGTGCTCTATTGACCACCCTTGACGCTCAGGTCAATGTAGCTACATTGGGGCTCATGATTCTAGTTCTTTTAATTATTGGGTTCTAAACTAAATAATTTATACATGTTTAATAGTTTTTTTTTTTTAAAACAAAAGAAGAAATATAAGGTTTAGAGTTTGGACTGAAGTTATATTGGATTCGATGAATCTACAAGCTCTACATTAGATTAGTCCGGGGTAAACGCTTATTGGCACTTGATATTAACGCAGGAATACATCAAATTTGTCTAATATTTTTTTTTAATAGATAAGTATAAGGTTTAGAATTTGGACAATTCGACGGATTTGCAAGCTTTACACTAGCGGTATATGCTTATTGGCACTTGATATTAAAGTAAAAATAAATTTAAAATAAATAGTAATAAAACATAATCTTACATTTGTTGATGTGATGATTAATTAGCTAAATGGTCAAGAGTCAAGAGATCACAATCAGAAATGTTATATTACAGATTCTAATTCAATCTTTTAACCACTGCTAATTAGTTATCTTTCTTATTAACCACTATTACTATTATGTTAAAAATTAAAGCATTGTAATTGGTGTTCCCCTGATTTCTTTATTTTTTTATTTTTTAAAAATCTTTTCATTTTGTGCTCCTTAAGAATCAAATTATGTAACAATAGAGATGATTTATTTGAAGTATTAATTTTACTTTCAAACTAAAGAGCTTTTGATTCATTAGGACAATAATTAAATAATTTAACGTATATCAAGCAAATTGACTTTATAAGGGGACAAACACATCGTGATTAAATAGTTTTAGAGTTAGGCTGAATTTTGAATTTACAAATAATATTATATTTTTTCTTGAAAACGTTCTTGCGCCTTTTTGAGTTTCTCCCCTATAGAGCGCTCTTGCAGTCGTACCGTCTTGATAAAATTATTTTTTTTCTTAAAAGCGTTCTTATGCCCTTTAATTTTGAATTTCTCCCTTATAAAGGATCGCGCTGCACTCGCACTGTCCTGTTACCATCCCTAGTTTCATGAGTAGGAAATTTTTTGGGTATATATATATGACATATGTCAGTAATAAGTGTATATGTATATATAGGTTGAAAATATGAGAGACCAAAGGTACCCTAGTAAATCACATGGCAGCTTAGGAAAATAGAGACACAATTATAAACAAGATGCTTGAATGCATGACATCAATTATTAGAGTTTGCTACGAGGAGGCATGCAAGCTTTCTCTAATAATCTATATTATATATATATCTCTTCCCTTGTATACATAATTCTCAAGTGGACACACAAAAAGCCAAAATAATTTATTTTATTTTTTAAAATCAATTTTTATATATTAGGCCACCTAAATCCAAGAACTCTCCTATTTTTATTTTAATAGTTTTTTTTAGCCAAATCGGTGAATTAGTGTTTTAGTGCATCCATTTTCTAGTAGGATTAATGAGAGATCTTATTGTTAATACTTGCTTTTAAATTCAAAAACTTTGAAATGCACATGAATTTACAAAATATCTTATTACGGAAATTAATAATTGCTTTTATTTTTTTGGGAAACATATTTTATTTTGGATTTTTTTTTAAAGTATAGGTCCTAATAAGGCACTAGTCTATTTTGGCAAAAATGGAAGGGAAAAATGGAGGGGCATGAGACTAAATTCAACTGGTTCTGAAAAGGACACCATTATCTTTTGAAAATAAAGTTTAATAGACGTGCCAAAATATAATCAATTGTGTATTTCCAATATGCATATATTAAAACAGTAAGTATCAAGCGTGGCAACTAAATATAATTATAATATTCAATGCATTAAGATGGGGTCCGTAGATAAATATACAAGGCAATTCAATGTATTATCATCATTTCTTTTTTTTCTTGTATTTAAGTATAACTCATAGAATACACTTGTTTATCACCATCATATATTTACATCATCATATAAATTTAATACAATTAACTAATTTAATATGGTGAGGACGTATATTAATTATCCATAATTAAATATTAAATACTTATATCTAAACATATATAATGTATTTATCAACGCAATGTAAATATTGAATATTAAACTTTTAGGCATTCAGACTATCCGAATACTTTATAAAGTAATGATAAAAATATCTATATGGACCATCCTTTAGGACAAACGCAACCTCTGAAACTTAATTAGCGATAATGGATTTGTCCTTCGACACCCTTTTCATTTGAATTTCAAATGTAATTTGCATGGCTTAGGGCATAAACATGTGACCTAAATCACAAACTCTAATTTCCCCCCTTAACTTAACTCTAGGACACCCTTTTCAATATTTTTGAAGAACAACAATCAGGAAAATTTGTAGGCTTCATGTTTGGTTAGCTTAAACATTTTGAAAAATATTTTCTAAATCAACTTATCTTTTTCAAATTTAAGAAAAATGACTTACCTCAAAAAAATAAGGAAAATATTTTCCAAAATTCTGTTTCAACCTCACACCTCAACTTTCACCCTAACTCAAGTCTTGAGTACCGATTTTCCATACTACTCCGGGATCAAACTTATGATTTTTGATTTGGGACACGACTCTCGACCTCAATTCGAGACCCAACTTTCGGGTCAGATCGGGGTCGAATCTCAATTTGGGTGTCGAGTCTCATGTCAAGATTCGAGGTCGGATTTTGAGTCAGTTGTCGAGGTCAAATCTCGAATTAGGTGTCAGGGTGGGGTTCTAAGTTGGATGTCAGAGTCAGAGTTTGAATTGAGAGTCAGATGTCGAGTTTGGGTTTCGAATCAATTGTCAAGATCGAGTGTCGAAGACGGATCCCGATTTGAAAGTCGGATCGTGGTTTGAAAGTTGGGTCCTGGATCCGAAGTCGAGTCAGGTCTTAGTTTGGAAATCGAGTACTGGATTGAGAGTCGAAGGTCGATCCCGAATTGGGTCTTGAATTGGAAGTCGGGTCCTACGTCGCTTGTCGCGATCAAATTCTGTTCGGAAGTCAAATTGTATTTCGGGTGTCGGATCCTAGTTTGGGTGTCGGGTCTTAGTTCGGGTATCGAGTTCTGAATCATTCATTGGGGTTGGGTGTCTGTGTCGGGGTTAGGGTTTGATTTAGGTTGAATGTCGAGTCTTGGGTCGGGAGTCGGAGTCAGGTCCCAAGTCAGGTGTTAGGTTAAATCCCAAATCGGTCGTCCAGATCGTATCAAGGTTCGGGTGTTGGGGTCGGGTAAGGGTGGACATTTGGTATTCGATATTTGGTTTGGGTTTCGTAATTTTGGGTTTGGTAATTCGGTAATTGGAAGTTTAAAGTAGATACCAAATACCAAAATTTTAAATTTCGGTTTGGTAATTCAGAAAATGGTAAATTAAACTTCGGTTTGGTACGGTATTCGTTAATACCGTATTAAAGTTCTAGCCGATTGTATTACAAAGTTAATACTATTTCTCCAATTATTTCTATTTTTTTAATGAAGAGGCACGATATAAGAGAAGATCAACAAGTAAGAAGACATCAAGAAAAGCAAATTGATACAACTAAAAGACATTTATTTGGATTGTTCATGCTTATTCTATAACTTTCAGTTTGGACTTGTACTAATGAGTAATGGATATGTTAATATATGACCTTCATTAAGTAAATAATTTGGTATTCGGGAAATACCAAATATCTCGAATACCATGCCAAATACCAATACCAAATTACCAAAAAATTTGGTCCGATTTGGTAATTCGGTTTTCGATATTTTATGCCCAGCCCTAGGGTCGGGTCCTAGTTTGAATATCGTGTCTTGGGTTCGGAGTCGGGATCAGGTCCTGGGTCAGGTCTCGGGATCGAATACCAGATCGATTGTCAGGTCGTGTCCCGATTCGAATGACGGGGTCTAGTCCCAGTTAGAATGTCGGGTTGTGCGTTGGAAGTTTGGGTTAAGTCCTGGGTTGGATTCTGGATCAGTCATCGGGATCGTGTCCCAATTCGGGTGATGGGGTCAGGGTCGGGTCTCAGATCGGTTGTTGGGGTTGGTTTCCGAATCATAAATTATTTTCCTAAAAAGTATTTTCTACTCTCTAGTCAAGAATAAAAGATATTTTCTGGAAAATATTTTTCATTCACTAACCAAACACGAAAATATTTTCCACTCACCAACCAAACATGAGAAAATAAGTTAGAAACCAACTTGTTTTCCAAGAAAACATTTTCTCGGTAAACATTTTCCTTTCCTACCAAACACACTCTAATAGGTTTTTGGCTTTGCTTAATCTCTCTCAATCATTCCTTGTCTACTCTTTTTCAATGTTTTTCAATAAACAACAATTAGGAAGAGGTTTCAAGTTCTGTTTTGATCAGTCTCACTTTAACCATACAATGAATAAAAAGAAGAAT